TACAGACACCATATAGTGTAGACTATAGAACTGAAACGTTATACTCGTTATCATTACAGACACCATATAGTGTAGACTATAGAAACTGAAACGTTATACTCATTATCATTACAGACACCATATAGTGTAGACTATAGAAACTGAAACGTTATATTCGTTATCATTACAGACACCATATAATGTAGAATATAGAAACTGGAACGTTATACTCATTATCATTACAGACACCATATAGTGTAGACTATAGAAACTGAAACGTTATATTCGTTATCATTACAGACACCATATAGTGTAGACTACAGAAACTGAAACGTTATACTCGTTATCATTACAGACACCATATAGTGTATAATATAGAAACTGGAACGTTATACTCGTTATCATTACAGACACCATATAGTGCAGACTATAGAAACTGGAACATTATATTTGTTATTATTACAAACACAGAATGAGACACATATTTACACTGTGTTTATAAGAATGTTATGACAGTTTTAATTTATCGAAAGCAAGAAATTTCAGCAGAGGGTGTTCATTAAAGCTAGCTACGTTTCTGTTATAGGCAGTGTTAAAAGTACAGTTTCGGTTTTATCCCCGCTTCCCAGGTCTTCTGGGATTGGTGCCAGAACGAGCCTGGGTCATTAGGAGGGTAATACTATCAGGACGTAGACATTAACAAAAAAGGTAATTCCTGTAATGCTTCTTTTGTAAGTGCACGAAAATGGGGTTTACTAATTATACAAGTGTCTTCTAACCCTTAGGTGATGTTTCAAATGGCTACTAAGTGCAACTTGAAGCGAGTAATTAGTTTCGGTTTTGACACTCCATACGGTATTAGTTTCCCCAGTCCGGAGAAACGCAAGAGTAGGATAAAAAGTAGCAAAGTATTCTGATCTGTGGGGTGACTAAAGAAGACATCAAAGAAGAAACAGGGGAGTGGGGGTATATACCCTTTTCATTACCAACAGCCAGGCGACCAGCTGTCGGTTTACTAACGAGCTGCACTGCCGATCAGTCCAGTCAGCCATTTGGTTCGACCACGTACCTCCTGACATTATACAAATGAAGGCCAAAGCTCGTGCGCATCCCCAAAGACAAACCAACGGAGCCACTGACTCTAGGCTCTTTACATGTTTGGAACAAAAAGTCGTGATGCTTTACAGATCGATGGCACGTGAAATATCGTGGAATTGCAAAATAAGATGCTACAAAAAAAAAAGAAGACTAATATGTTAAGCAGAATAGAAGAACGGAAAAAACCTCCTTCTATGAGAAAGAACTGGGTTGCTCGATATAAATTGTGTAGGGGTGGATGGAATATGGAAAAGAAAGTAAGAAAAAATGTTTATTCTGGAACTAGAGGCATCCATTTCAAACATTCCGTGCACACAGAAACAGCTTCTGGTATCAGATTAAAGAAAAATATACAGCTTGTACCGATACTCTCTTTATGACTACCAATTCCACTTTTAAGTATATTTTTATATATATATATATATATGTTGTTCTAAACACAATAATAAAGTTTGGGTTTCAGGCAGAGATACGCAGTTAGATCCCATTATAGAAAGACA